CCTACATGCAGCATGTGCAAAATCAATAGGACTCTGTGATGCTGCTTAGCCGAGGAACCAAACCAATGAGTCTATATGTACAATAAATCACTCAGACATAATGATGTGTAAATCGATGATTCGTAAGCGCGCGCATAGATCAAGACATGCCAACACAACACACATCTCTCAAAAGGTAAGTGGTCTGTGGCACAAAAAACATCCCGTTGACAGCTCAGACGGCACGACGCGGGATGATCATCTGCGCAGGAACCCGAGACGGCGATAGGCCGGATCATGACATGTCAGCCTCGGAAGGGTGAGGTAGCAAGATAAAGAAACACAGGAAATGGCGCGTGGGTTTTGAGGATTAGATAGGCTGGTAAAGGATGAGGTGTACATTTAGGTACATGGTGATTTGAGGGGGCACAATCAGGACTGTGACTGTAAGTATGATGATGATCTACTGGTTGGTACTGGTGGTGATTGAGTTTATTGTTGCTGTCATAGCAGGGGTTCAGAATTTGGCAGCTGACTCTGACTCTGACTCTGACTCTATTATCAGAACCATCTTCGTTGAATGATTCAAAGGACCAGGACAGTTCAAGTGGCTGAGCTTTCAGAATCGGTGATTGAGTAAATACAGCTCGGTTAGGGCTGACGAATCGAGATTCTGGTGTTCTTGTTGTTGCATCTCGAAACTTGTCTTGTTCACCTGCATGAACCTTTGGTGTTACACAACCCAAGAATGGGGGACTCTATGGCAGGTCAAAGGTCAGTCACCCGCTCGGCCTTGGCCGTATCGATCTTGTCCTCCGTAATTGAGCCTGATCTCACAGAGACATTTATTGAAATTGTGGCTTGGGTCTTACTCGAATCCCTCACTCTGTCGCCGTCTGTGCCTTTGAACATGTGCCACACTCGAAACCTGTGGTGGAGACAGATACTCGTGTCAAACTGTGAGAGGCTGAAGGGGACATAAGAGTGGCTTCGATCTAGACGAAGCTGAGTGCTTGCTTTGGTCGGACACTGCCGTTCCTGTTGCATTAAGCAGGGAGCCGATGTACCCCAGAGTTCAATACTTTGCATCAGGCATCTGTCGTGAACGGAAGCCGAATCTAGGACCCGACATAATTCGAGTTACAGGCCTCGGAAGGACGAGCGGACGTTGATACCCCTCCGTTATTGAGTATGCATAGGACGAGGGGAAAGCCTGCATCATGCGAATGGTGTTCAAACGATGCCCATACATGTTTCCGTCTGGTCCGAGACCGTGGGTCATCAAATCGATTCAGGGTAGCTGCTGGGGTTTCAACTTGAAGCGCAAGTACAACGCTTGGAGCAGAGAGCGAAACCTGGGGCGGGATTGACAGTGCAGAAACAAGGCCTCGCTTGCTGTGTATAGTCATGCGACTCTGTCGCTTCTTTCGATTTGTCTATTGCTATTTCGTGCCAAACTCGGCTGCTGAAATATGGCAGCTCAGCAGCCGAGGCAGCATTGTTGTCATGAAATCCCAGTAACCAGGACTAATAGCCATGAACCTTGTGACGATATGTAGCAGCGTTGACAATGATCAGCATAACAAGCCTGCCTGCATATTCGTCTTTCTGGGGGAGTCGAACCAGCCCCAGGCATACGCATACGCAACATGATAACGGTGTTTAATTCCGTAGCTCTGCCTAAGTGCTATAAAAGCTGAGCAACAAATCAAGTCAATCAACCAGGATCTTTCCCATTCACAACTCCAACGTCTCACATGTGCCCGGACTGTCCTTTCCGGTCCCCGGCCACCGAGATAGGAAAGCATTGTCAACAGAATGTGCGGTCAAAGGGAGTCACAAGTTTTTTTCTTCATTTTTTCCTGACAGTGACGCGAATACCGAAAGGATACATACGATTATGGTATGTAAGAGTCGGTGAGATGTCGTAGTGTCAGTGTATCATACTCTAGGGCTAGTGCCGTGTGGTTCCTGGGACTTTGAGCAAACGAAGTGCCCAGACTAATTGTTGATGGAGTGGTTTCCGGGACTGTGATGTTGTTTCCGGCTGGCCTGTCTGCTTGTCAAACGGGGCATTTTCTTGCTAGTGAAATGCCCTGGTCAGAAAGGTCTGTCAGGGGAGTAGGGGCAGAGAAGGAAGAGGGAGGACCGGCTATTGGGGGCCTGTCTGTCTGATGCCTGTAGAGTGTTCCTCTTCCTATTCCTACTCCTACCACGGAAGCCCACAAGTTCCATGACGTGCAGCCTGTAAATTGTGACTGTCAGATTCGTAATTCTGCGTTGCGAATGAATATTAAAAGAGGATGTTGAAGTAGGTTTTCAATGTCCACATGATGTGTGATGAGTATTAATTGCTGAGCCGTAGAGCACAAGTAGACCTTGAGCCACTAGGAGCCGTTGTCAACGTGGCTGCGAGTATCTTTTTACAGTGGGCTGTAGGCTCAGTCAATAACAAGATAACCCTCACTACGGAGTAGGAAGACTGCATTGTATATGTACCTCCCAATAATGTGCTCAGCCGTATGGTGGAGGGGCAGGGCTGTGTGTATCCAAGTCGATTACAGATCGAATTTTCCCCCCTTCTGACCGTCTTTGCGAGGCCCATCAGGGCTCTCTTCTCAGTCGTCTTGATACGCAGCGGGGACTGGTTCGTGAGCTTCTTTGCTCCCCACCAACATTGATTCGTCTGTAATAGTATAGCGACTTTGACTTTGGACTTAGCATTGCCGACAGAGATTGAAAAGAGGGGCATTAAAAGAAAAAGGGCTTCTTTTCATCCATTTTTGTCTCTTCTCATCCGGCGTAACAAACCTGATGAATTGTGGTTATAATGGAGGAGTGTAGCTACATTGAGTTAGCTATTCGTCTAGCTTAACAAAGAAGCGAAATGGAAGTCGAACCCAAGTGCTTGATCTGAGCCCAGATGATTCTGTGTGTGGGAGCAATCAGGTACCGGCTACAGGGGTATCATCCGCCAAACGCCAAACCAGGGCCTCTCCGCTCCGCCCACGATTGGATCCTTGATGTCGCGCCCGGTGCCAGGAACCGGTTGCAGGGGGAGTTGCGAGTACGAATTTCGTTGTGAATGGCTCAAGTCTGAAGGCTGAGTGAGTAAAGGAGCAGATACTGTTGGTTAGGTCTCGATCGATCATGAACTGACAAAAGGATTCATTCACATATAGCACGATACGACACAGACCACAAACGTACTGTTAGTCCTTTTAATTATAAACTGCTTTCGTCATTCATTTTCCGTTGGATGTTTCTCAACATCACATCGCTCGATGCCCAGACCTAGCTTGGGCCTGGGCCTGGGCTTGGTGCTTGCTTGTTCGGCTTACCAGGTATACTATCCGAAACTTCCAGTACTGACAGTACTGTACGAATCTCGCTCGCCTTGCTTGCATACTGTTACATATTCATAGTCACAAGGACAATTGTCTCGTCCTTGATTGATGTCTTTGTCTTTCAGTACGTACTCAGCTTGGAGCACATTGAGGCAGTGGGATGACCCAACGATTGTATCTTGATGGACAGATGCTGTAGACATGTAGGCAGTCAATGTTTATTTTTCAATTAAAACATATAACAAAGTTCAACCTGTTGTGTATGATTGTCTCCGTCACTTACAGTTGACCAGCAACCCAGCCTACACCCACTTTGTCGTCAATCAGTGAGGAGAAGCATCCATTTGTAGTCAAGGATTCATTGATAGACTGTAGAGCATTACGACATTGTTTTGGTGTCAACTCTAACATACCCCTCGTGGCTTATTATGTTTACTTTTTGTCAATATTTATTTTGATTCTTAATGCCCAACTTCAGCCTCTGAATCGATAACCAATAAATGTGCCAATATTGACACCTACGCTACCCTCGACTTATCCAGCTCAACAAGAAAGAAGTCTGGTCTCACATCAAACAGAGCAGGGCTTTACCTAGCAGCCTCCATACCTACTCTAGGTACCAGGTCAAAGTCGACCCGACAGATTGTGTCATGCTTCTACGCTAAGTTAAACCGACCAATCCAATTGAGTTACCCCAGCCCAAAACCGCCCCTACGTGATTCCTTTTTCAGGTTCCTTTTCCAGGTCCGGGCCCATCTCAACCCCTGTCATTCTGATTTTTTGGGGGGTGTATCTCTGTTCCGGACGTCGCAGTCAGTCAACGAGTGAGTGAGAAAAAGACAGAGAAAAAAAGAGAGAAAGAGGGGGAAAATATTTTCATATATGTACAAACTGCATTAGATTGATTCATTTTCTTTCCATTCCCCGGTATCAAGCATAGGTAGGTACCTGCGTATTACATACAGCACCTACAAGTCCAAGAACCGGACCGTCACTCAACGGGCAACGGATATAGATACGGTCGGGTACAACATCAGCGTCACCTTTTTTCTGCCTTTTCCCACTAACTTGCCTACAGTTACAGCACAATCGCAACAACGCTACATCCACCCGTCACTGGTTTGGCCTTCCATACACCCACCGTCACTCCCACCAACCATCATTGCTACCTCTACCTCCGTAACTTACTTTAGGTATTCCCACTTACCTCCATACCATCACTCACTCTTGACCTCAACACCACCTTTTTATTTTTATTTTTACGACAACAACAACCGATTTGCTGTATCTCGTCATCGCACCGTTTTCACTCTTTCCAATCCAGTCCAGTTTAGCCCAGCCCACCGTAACGTACCGTGCCATTCGATTATTTCGCTTCCGATTACTTGATAGTCACCCTACATCGACGTGACATCCTTTCTAGCCATATCCCGTCTGCCATTCTCAACAGACAGGTGCAAGTAGCCGTCCGGAATAGGTTGGTTAGCTTCGCGAGCTGTCCCTATTGTCTCGAGGCCTTCGGTTTCGGCCACACGCCCATTCTGTTTCAATGACGAGCCAACCACAATGATTCATATTGAAATCTGCTCTGCAATTCATTGTCCCTGCTAAGGCCCGTCCCGGTGGTATGCTCGCTCGGCATTCACTCCACCAATACCACAGGCCATCGTCATCATGGACAAGTCATCTGCCGTCACAGACGGCCCCTCCGGCGTCGGTCGTGCTGCCCATAACATGGCTGACAGACGGCGTTCCAACACACCCGACCCTTCTGCAACGTCCTCAAGCGCATCGAAGCAGTCTTCCGCCAACAATTCCATAGGCCCGTCGCCCTTGGCCTCGAGAGATTCTTCCCCCACGCGGCGCCCTCGAAGAACCGTCTCGGCAAACCGGTTGACTGGTACTCGATCTCGAAAAAACAGTCAGACCGATAACAGTCCTTCGCGCCAGAAACGACCCAACCCATCAGCTGCCACACCATTACGCTCACTGTCTTCGACAGCCACACCCACACTCCTGCTTTCCCAGGAACAACAACAGCAACAAATCCAAGCTCCGACACCTCTGAAGCCAAACTTCAACGCAGACCTCAAGGATAGCCCGCGATGGCCTATATCGCCCCGTTTGCGATCGCCACCTCCCCAGTTTAGTACTAGGCCATCAGTGCCTGCTCGTCACAGCGACCAGGAGCTCCCTTCTATCAGCGTGCAGCGACCTACGCCGTCACCGCAGCCGCCCATGGAGAACCAGACAGCATCGGAGAGTGAAATGGAGGAAGCATATCCCTCTGGCATGCGCACTCCTGCCAGAGGGCCGTTGGAGACTGTCCAAGAGGTCAGCTTGCCAAACTCGCCCAATCCTCCCAGTGGTAGTGCTCTGGTGGAAAAGTTGAAAGAGAAGCTATCAAACCCGGAGAATTATTCCGATACCGCGCTTGTTGATGGAAGGACTTTGCGGGCCAGGACCAGCTTAATAGGCCAGGAGAGTGGCAGCGATAACAACAAGAATGAGGCGCGAAGACCAACATCTGTCCCTCCGCCCATGATTACTCGACAATCTAGTGCTTTGTCGAATAAGCAAATGAAGTCTAAGCAGGATGGTTCTATACAGACCATGACAGTAGAGACCGAGACTGTCCCAAGCGTACCACAGGTTGCGCTCACTACCACCCAGAAGGCTGAAGCATCTACTGGAACCCTCAAGACCAAACAGAGTACCGAGACAATCAAGCCCAAGAAGGATAAGAAAAAGACCTCACGTAAACAGCCTGCTGTTAACGCAGGGAATGGTAAGCTAGGAAAATTGTGGCTTACTGGATACGCCTGCTAACACTACTGCAGCATCTTCCAAAGCTGATGTCTTCGAGGCAACTATCGCAAGTGCTGTTGATGAGGCTAATACATCGGATTCTGAAGAGACCTTTGTTTATGATTCCAACCCTCCTGACAACAACGATCGAGCTGGACGACGTTTCCATTCGCGAACTCCTAGCGCCACATCGATGGCTAGCCAGGCTGATCGCCAAAACTTGCGATCCATATACGGTATCATGGAGAACGGTGGTCCTTCACATGGGCCTAAGAAGACGATGAAATTCGTCAACACCTTCAACCCGAACGGAAATGAAACCTTGACAGTCGAGGCCGAGGACGGTAAGGGTTCTAATCGTAGTGGCGGCAGTGGCTCGACACGAGGTACTGCGAGACACCATCATCATATTGGTCGCTGGGGTCGGCAGCCTGGCAACGGCCACGCCTCGCTCTTTGACAACGAATCCCCATTCCCGAATGCCGCAAGATCGAAGCTTGCCAGCAACAACTCACGCCATTCTTCAGGACCACCAAGTCCCCGTCAAGCTCACTCCAACCGCAACTTCGGTCATAAACGCTCCGCTATGCAGATGTCGTCTAGTTACGATATGGATGACACAACAGGTGCCGACGATGAGCGTACACCTCTTATCGGCTCGGTCCGCTCGGGTCGTTCAGGCCGAAATCGCCGTGGACCACACAACCTCCGACAGGCTGAATCACAGACATTCGCAAGGCGGTCGTCATACCTGAATCGGTTCGCAGCATGCTTGGTTCTCACCATGATGTTCATGCTTGTGATCACCGGCGCGATCGGCTTCATGTTTGCGACTTCACAGCCAATGACGGGCATCGAAATCATTGCCATACACAACGTGGTGACCAGTGACCAAGTCTTGATGTTCGATTTGACTGTCAAAGCACACAACCCAAACATCGTTGTCGTTACGATTGACCACGCGAACTTGGAGGTATTTGCGAAATCGGATTATACAGGGACCGATTCAGATTGGTGGGCTCGGCCGTTCCCTCATGGCCCAGATGATATTCGAATAAACGATGACCCGGAGAACGATCCTCCATTAGAAGATCCCGATCCCGACGATGACCTCCGACCTAACGTTCTTCTGGGTCGTATTTTTGAATTCGACAGTCCACTGACGTTTGAGGGGTCCCTGTTTCATCAGGGAACGTCTTCCTCGACTGGGCAGATGCAATTACAATATCCCCTTAACAGCACAGTAGGGGGAGCAAGACGATGGGAACGAATTTATCAGAATGAGTTTGATTTGATCGTTAAGGGCGTGGTCAAGTACACTCTTCCCATGAGCGCCCGCATTCGCAGCGCCACGGTATCTGGGAGGAAGGCAGTCAGCCCAAACTCTTCGAACGATCCATCGAACAGCACCAATGTTGATTTTTCAACTTAGACAAGGAACTGCCTCAAGATAGGCAGAAGTCCTTCTCGCCTTTCTTTTGTCAACTATCCGATTGTCTTATGTATTTTGAGCGCGCATAGCATGACGCATTAGGGAGCAGCAGGCGTTGGATGTAAATCTCCATCCGCATTATGGTTGATCATCATAAGGAAATGGAGCTGCAAGATTTTGTGTTTGGCTTATTGGTTTTAGACAGGTTTAACACCCATGCTCCTGTCAGGTGTTTCGTGGGTTATTTTTTCACACCAACCTGATTATTCTCGCACATCTTGTACCTCGGTACATGCCTGCTTGTTAAGAGGGTTCGGAGCAAGGTTAGGGACGGAGTTATTGCTTTCATTTTGTTTCTCAAAACCTATAGAAGGAAAAGCGGCAACTATTCGTTGTAATTGTAACGGCTTATGACAACCCCCAAGAAGAAAAGGAGCAAGTCAGATCAGATCGACTTGAAGAGGAAGATGTAGTTGGGAGCATATCAAACACTCCGATAGTTAGGGCGGGTAGAAGAGAGGTACATTTATGTTGAACCATAGCTTCAACACAAAATCTATTATTGTCGTAAAGAGATTAACCTGTGAGATGTAACTAGGAATGTGCTGCCTTCTGTGAGAAAGTTGAATGCTACTTTAGGTGCCTATATTCTAACATGGCCGTTTGAGACCATGGCTCTATAGTCTTTGTCAGCAGATTTAATGACAGGCGGAAAGTGGCGGGTGTGGAGCCTCAAGCTTTTGGTCCGCTTTTATGTTTTGCTCGTAGCTCTAGAGTTCCATGACTGCCTGGCGTCTTTTCGTTAGAGCTTTGTGCACTCTTAATCTTTCTTTTATTTTGTTTTGGCGTGACTCTCAAAGCCCGATACTGACTTCGTACCTCACTCTGTAGCTGAGAGTCATAGTACGATAAAGCTCACGTCGCAACCTCATTTATTCTCACAAATATAAAAGCGATACCTCAGCAGCTAGCTACAACTTCTTTTTCCTTCAAGACAAATCTTTCTTTTACGCATATACAGGAATTGACAAGACGAAATCATCCACTCACTTCAACAACACGATATAGAGCGCATACTGGCTCGCCGTCAACATGTCCGGGCGACGCGACTTCCTCAACCAGGCAGCGCCCGAGAACTACGTCGCTGGTCTCGGTCGTGGCGCGACAGGTTTCACGACAAGATCCGATCTTGGTCCCGCTAGAGATGGACCCAGTGAGGATCAGATCAAGGAGGCGCTCGCGAAACGAGCTGCTCAGCTTGGTCTCGCGCCAGACAAGAAGGGCAAGGAAAAGGAGGAGGAGGAAGAAAAAGATGAAGAGCGATACCAAGATCCCGATAACGAAGTCGGACTTTTTGCCGGCGGTGTCTACGACAAGGACGATGAGGAAGCCGACAAGATTTGGGAATGGGTGGATGAGAGAATGGACCGAAGAAAAAAGCAGCGAGAAGCACGAGAACAGGCCGAGAAGGACGAATACGAACGAAACAACCCCAAGATTCAACAGCAGTTTTCCGACTTGAAGCGAGCGCTTGCCACTGTTACGGACGACGAATGGGCAAACTTGCCTGAAGTCGGAGATCTGACAGGAAAGAACCGACGTACCAAGAAGGCAATGCGGGAGAGAGCGTATGCTGTTCCTGACAGCGCTCTTGCGGCAGCGCGCGATGCGGGTCAGATGGGAACAACTATTGTGGATGACGATATGGCACCGAGTGCCGGCGGCGATGCAGCGGACGGCACAATGACCAACTTCGCCAAGATTGGAGCGGCTCGCGACAAGGTGCTCAAGTCCAGGCTGGAACAGGCCGGCAGCGATTCCGTTGCTCCAGGCACCTCAACCAGTATCGATCCACAAGGCTATTTGACGAGCCTCAACAAAGCAGCTACGGGTAATCCAGCAGACAGCGTCGGAGATGTCAACCGTGTGCGCCAACTCTTGCAGTCGGTTGTCAAGACAAACCCTTCAAATGCTCTAGGTTGGATCGCAGCGGCACGACTGGAGGAGTTGGCAGGCAAGTCTGTGACAGCACGAAAGACTATTGAAAAGGGTTGTGCGCAGTGTCCAAAAAGTGAAGATGCGTGGCTGGAGAACATTCGACTCAACGAAGACGTACCCGCTAATGCCAAGATCGTCGCGCGAAGAGCCATTGAGGCCAACAACACCTCGGTCAGACTATGGATAGAGGCCATGAAGCTAGAGCTAATCCCAAGCAACAAGAAGCGAGTTATTCGACAGGCACTTGATCACATTCCGGAGTCGGAAGCTTTGTGGAAGGAGGCTGTGAGTCTGGAGGAGAACGTCGATGATGCGAGACTTCTTTTGGCCAAGGCTACGGAGCTTATTCCTCTTTCTATCGATTTATGGCTGGCATTGGCACGCCTAGAGACACCAGAGAACGCCCAAAAGGTTCTCAACAGGGCACGAAAGGCTTGCCCTACTTCTCACGATATTTGGATCGCAGCCGCACGTCTACAGGAGCAGCTTGGACAAGGAAGCAAGGTCAACGTTATGAAGCGTGCTGTCCAGGTTCTGGCTAAGGAATCCGCCATGCCCAAGCGTGAAGAATGGATCACCGAAGCTGAACGATGCGAAGATGAAGGCGCTGTCATCACTTGCCAGAACATCATCCGCGAAACTCTGGGTTGGAGCTTGGACGAGGACGACGATCGCAAGGACATTTGGATGGAGGACGCAAAGTCTAGTATCAACCGAGGCAAATACGAGACAGCAAGGGCTATTTACGCCTACGCCCTGCGGGTCTTTGTCAACAGCAGGACGATGTGGATGGCAGCAGCAGACCTGGAGAGAAACCACGGCAACCGAGAATCGCTCTGGCAGGTATTGGAGAAGGCCGTCGAGGCATGCCCCAAGAGTGAGGATCTGTGGATGATGCTGGCCAAGGAGAAGTGGCGGGCCGGAGAGTTGGATGCTGCTCGTCTCGTTCTCAAGCGAGCCTTTAACCAAAACCCCAATAACGAAGACATCTGGCTTTCGGCTGTCAAGCTGGAGTCAGAGAGTGGCAACGAAGAGCAGGCGCGCAAGCTTCTGGAAATTGCCCGTGAACAGGCCCCCACAGATCGTGTATGGATGAAGAGTGTTGTATTCGAACGAGCGCTGGGCAATGCCGAGGCAGCGCTTGACCTTGTCCTGCAGGCACTCCAATTGTTTCCTGCAACGCCAAAACTCTGGATGCTCAAAGGTCAGATCTACCAGGATATGGGTAAGATTGGCCCGGCAAGAGAGGCCTACGGCACCGGTGTCAAGGCTGTACCCAAGTCCGTACCCTTGTGGCTTCTATATACCAGGCTGGAGGAGGAAGCCGGTGCCACCGTCAAGGCACGATCTGTGCTTGACCGTGCTCGACTGGCAGTGCCAAATGATGCGCTATTGTGGCGTGAGTCAGTGCGACTTGAACGACGAGCAGGCAACATGGTCCAGGCCAAGGCGATGATGGCCAGAGCGCAACGAGAAGTTCCCAAGAATGGTCTCCTCTGGGCAGAACAGGTTTGGTATTTGGAAGCACGCACACAGCGCAAAGCTCGCATTCTCGAGGCTATCAAGGCGGTGGACGGTAGTCCTGACATCTTCGTTGTCGCGGCGCGCATTTTCTGGGGTGAACGTAAGAAGGAACAGGCGCAGAAGTGGTTCGAGAAGGCTATTGTGCTGGATAACGACAATGGAGACTCATGGGCTTGGTACTACAAGTTCCTGCTCCAGTACGGCACAGAGGAGACGAAAGCTGATGTCGTGACCAAGTGCGTTCTCAATGAGCCTCGACATGGCGACGTGTGGCCAGCAGTCGCCAAGAAGCCTGCGAATGCTGGGAAGAGCTGTGAAGAGATTCTGAAGTTGGTTGTCGAAGAGTTGGATCAATAGGCTTGCCAAGGTTAGCAGCAATTGGTGGTATCCAGAACATGTATTGTTAAACTGTCCGGAGTTTGGGTGCTTGGCTATATGAAACTAATGAGCTTTAGACGGTATTTAAGACGATGGAGGCTTAGCTACCAAACATCATCAATCATTATATCCTAGTTTTTTACAAGAACATCATTGTAGAGAGACTCGGTTTGATTATTTGTTGACCGTGATTTCATTGCTCTTATACTATTGAATTACATTGTATGCAGAGAGACCCAGAGCTATCACACGGCCAGTCTCATGCTGCTGAGCCATGCATTAATTACTATTCGCCCGCTCAAACCCAAAACGGTACCGTAGGCTCCGACCTTGATTAGATAAATAATACAGTTGCTTTGATGTGTTTTTTTCTTTGTCCGCAAATCGTTTATTTGCCACCGAACCAGCTTGAGACACCACCCTTAGCCTTGGCAGCTTCGGCCTCGACGCGGTTGTCAAACTTGTCGACGACTCTCATGGCCTCGGCCTTTGCATCCTTGGCAACAGCCTCGACGTTGCTCTTGAGGACACCAACCTGACGATCGGCTGCGGCGGTCTATTATACAGGTTAGTGATCAAGTTGGAGTAGGTTATGCTTGGTAGGGAGACTTACAACCTGGTCAATCTTTTGACCGGCGGCGGCACCAGCTCCCTTCAGCTCGCCCTCGACGTTGCCGGTGCGGCCAGGGAGGTGGCTCTTGATGTCGGCAGCAGCGCTGTGGGCGTCACCTAATGTGAATGTCAGTAAGATGATTAACTATCAAAATTGAGTGGTGGTTTGCGCTTACTCTCAGCCTTCTTCTCGGCAGCTCGGGGGTTGCCTCCAGCGGCGTAAAGGTAGTATCCAACACCAGTAGCGGCGGCACCACCGAGGATGAGAGGCATGCGAGACTTGGACATTTTGATTGTGTTATGTTGTGTTGTTGTGTAGGGTATTTGTGTTTGTGTTTGTGTTTGGTAGAGAAAGGTGTGGAAAGAGTTGAGTATGGAATGACAGTTGGAGAGATGATGGTTGGGGGTATTTATTATGACAGGCTCTTTCTGCTTCTGCGGTCGGAGCTACCTCATAGGAGGTTTCCTTCCCCTAAAGCATAATTGGCCTTGTTTTATCCCGGTTGTCATCCCGTCACGCCCCTCTTGTTTGGCCAGAAATTGAATTCCATGTGCTCATGCGAACGACTTTGGTTGCAAGTACATGACGTAACAAGGCGGGGGAGACGAGACCAGCAGCTTGGATCATGATGGCACTGAATGCGGATACTACTGCTGTAGACTACTAAGGTACTACGACAATCTAGAAAGGTCTATGAGAACTTGAATTGGCGAATGGTAATCACTGTAAGGAGATATGTTTGTTATCATGATTCTCATGTGCTATAATCACCTCCAGGTAACCAAGAGTATATGGTTTATACAATACAGTCCAAAGCGAATAACCACAACAAGTAATCGAATCATAACAGACCATCTCACAATTCCTCAATGTCGTAATATGATTCAAACTGTCATAAAAGAACTGGATCTAGATTTATCTCCTACTAGCACTAATGTACCTTGACTAACACTGAATGAGCCGCGCTGCAGCTCACGATTTGCTCCAGGGAACGCCCCCACTTGGAAAAGCCAAGTACCCGCTGAAAAGCGGCATTACATCATTGAACTCGGCCTCCCTCCATGGCAAGCATGGTTCAAGCTTGTCATCTTTATTTGATCGATGAAGATCATGAAACTTTTCTTCGATTGAGTGCGAACTAGAATGAACTTCACTAGCAGCCGTTTACCCTTATTCGCAACATCAAAATCTACCTACTAACAACTTAGCGCAATTAATCTACCATGCAGCCTCCAATGTGAAAACTCCCATCATTGTGATCATCAAAGCGTCCGTCAATATTTGTTGCGGAATAAGCCTGCTTCAGCTGAACGCCCCGCCACAATAGGCATCGCCCAAATCAAGTTGGAGCCCCTAACAGTAGCGCCTACCCCAAGATCAAGCTCACGACGCCAGCCCTCCAAAACATTGCCTACTTTTTGACCCTTCATTTTTTCTATCTTCTATCCATTGATTTAACATCCTACCTATAGTCGAGGTGACATTGTTGATCTTGTAGTGTCGTGCCTTGTCTCTATAGTGAGCCTCTTGCTCACCCTCCCTTGTTTCAGACATCATACGTATCGTGTTTTCGCGCCATCATTGACCACCCTCATAAAGAGAACGTTCCTCCGTCACAGGGCAATCAGCCCTTGGCTATCAAAAGCCATACGCAGCTACAATGCTGAGAGTCAAAAGCTCGCGCCGTCCCGCGGTACTCAAGCCTACCGATTACGACCATGAGATTGACTTGGTCGATCACGATGCCGCTGCGACTCCAACAGGGTCAGTTACACCGGAGCCCAATGATATAGCGAGATACTCAACAACATCAAGATTATTGGGCGTAGAAGAAGAAAGAGAAGAGAACCAAGAACAAGATCGCAATGGACAAAATGGAGAGCATCAGGACAACTCAAATAAGAAGCCCGACGATGCTCCAGCCAACGGGCATGACGACTCGCACACCGAGGACGGCAACGAGGTCCATCCATCATCAAATCAGATCGAAGGCGAACAAGGCTTGCCGCCACAAGCCAGGCCGTCAATTGAGATTCAAGGTCAGTAAGAACAGACCCACCATATTACAAACTCTCCTAACATAGTGATAGAGCCTACACCTGATGCTTTCCATGGAGACCATCCGCAGGTGATACCGAGAAAACCTCGCGTCAAGCGCGAGACTGCTATCGATATTCTGTACGAGAACGAACGAGGAGGCTTTCTTTGTGGCATTCCTTTGTTCTCTTCACAAGCTTTGGGTGGCCTTGACCCGCCTGCTTGGAGTAAGCTGTCCAACCCACAACCCATCATATGGACAACTGGCTAACCTTCTTGTCCCTAGCCAATGGCTATCATAAAGCATCGCCAAGCAATATACACAATGCGCAAGTACCAGACCCTTCCTGGGAATGGGCGTGGCCAGAGTGGCGCATCAACCACCAGGAGGGTGTTGATGAACACGGCTGGGAATACTCATTTTACTTCTCAAAAAAGTTCTCGTGGCATAGCGGAAAGTGGTGGAACTCATTCGTAAGGAGACGTGCCTGGACCAGAAAGAGGATACGAAAGAGAGATGAGGACGTTTCGGCCGATCCACACATGCTCAACACTGGCTACTTTACGATTCAGTCTGCGTCACACAAGTCGCGGTTATCACATGCGAGCGTCACTAGCAGCCGACTTAGCCAGTCTAGTATGAGCCAAATGACCGCTGGCGACGGAGACGAGAAACCTCCCGAGATCGATAACGTGGAGGACCTTATACACGCCCTTCGACAAGCAAGGATAGACCGCGAAAAGCTTGACGCTGTCGACAGCTATATGGAACATGCAGAGGACCTCCATAATCTCCAGCATGAGATGCATGAGATTATGTCTCTCTTCGTCTTCCAGCAATCACGCCGAATATTGCTCAGTAGATTGATGGAGATCCATGACGAAACCACAGCGCAAGTCAAGAAGACTAACACCACTGAACTTCGAGAACGGAACCAAGCTTTGAAAGATGCCATACATCACGCCGATGAAGAAGTTAGAAAGTTGGCCTACTGGAGTGATGTCAAACAAATGGCCGAGAACGGCGAGGCAAAAGAGGCCGTCAAGGGGAACAAGGGATGGGATGAAAGCTGGGAGGGCGTGGATCAGAGTGGCGGGGCCCACCCGTTACGAGACAAAGCCACGGTCAACGGTACAAAACCGACAGCGGATACATGAGCGAAGAGTTTTGCCGGGAATGGGTTTGCGTTAATGGATGATATAAAAACATGGGAGGAAATACAGGCGTCGGAAGCGAGAGACAAGGCGTTATTTGGCATGGACTTGTCGGGCAATTCTATAATTGATCACAAGCGGTATAATTGGTTTTTGTAGTATGTCCTGTTCGTTTATAATATACGTATACGACTCTTGAGAAGGTCGGTGATATAGAAACACTCATGACAGTCTTTGGGGACACACGTGACCCGTCCGACATCGCGGGTCTCTTTATCGCGATAACATCCGCCCGCGCCAATCTTTTTTCCGCCATGCCACCTTGGGACTTAAATGTTCGACCCTCAAGGACCCAGCACAAACGACATACTGCGGGCCTTTGTAACCTCATAGCGCCTTCGACCATGCGTGACTTATGATCAATGTCCCTGGGGATCAAATCAGTATGGAGGGCTCGGTCGCGATGCTCGGCCTTTACAGGACCTTTCCTGATTTCCAGGGCCCTTATGCCCTCCCGGGTCCTGAATCCATATACAGCAATTCGATTTGAATCGACTACAGCGCAAACAGAAGGCACGAGCTCGACCGGGTCCTCGGAGACAGCTCTCATTTCGGTGTCAGATCGACCTCACATGAGCATGGAAGTGAGGAACCAGCAACCTGAGCAAGTTATCGCCAGCCTCGACAATCCCCCCGATTCCCGAAACCGAATCTTCAAAGATGCCTTTAAAATCGATGCGCCAAAATTGGCAGAAGACAAGGATGCCATGAGAGCCTTCAAAGCTCTCATCGCAAAACCTCTTCAGTACCCGAACGAATTAGCGACAAAGGCGAGTTTGGAGGAGCATTTGCGAGACAAACGACGCCAAGCTGGTCTTAGTATTGTTTGGAGTCACTTCAACAAGAAGATTCGGGACTGGACGGAGTGCTTCAACCTCATGAAGCGTGTAACCCCTCCATGGAGTGAGAGAGCCAACATGTCGGCTGTAAGAATTGTCCTGCCGAAATCCTGGGACATCGAGGTCAACAACCAGAATCTGGAATATGTCGACTCTGCGACAGGTGTTCTTCGAAAGCTACGATCAGCAGTGGATAGGAACCCTTCTGCGATTGTGCTACGTGGACAGAGCAAGATCCTGGTCAAAGTAGCTGATGAAATTGTTCGGCATTGCAAAGAAGCTGAAATCTACGAATTGGGTGAAGTTGCGACATCGGATTACAGGACAAGACAATTGTGGCCAACTATTGAGAATGCACCCAACGGAGGCGCCTCGCTTCCCGAAGATCATCTCAACGAAATCTGGGTGCACAAGGAGTATCAGCAGCACTTTATTACGGTGCCATATGAAAAGATCCTACGGCCTGCGGTGTGGACACAAGACAATTTCGAGCAATACATCGCCACGTTATGCTACGGTAAAATACCTTCACATCTAGCAATCCCCTTTTATGGCGAGCGGCGGACAAATGGAAGGTTCATTGATACCGATGGTATAAGGATCAAACTCGTTGTTGATGCTTTCCAAGATCCCACAGCTAGACCGTTCGTCACAGCCCCTGTTCTAAAGATGGCTATATCAATGATGACCTTCCGAGGCGGCCATCGTGCTTCGGCCAGCCACCTTGTGCAGTTGGGTGAGGAATGGGGTACGCCAATGGATACTGATATCTACAACATCATGCTCGAAGGTTACGTTCACAAGCGTGATGTTGGCTTCTTCTACGGGTTTCTTCGAAGAATGCAGGCACGGTATCATCACCCTAACATCCGGACATGGTTGCTCTTCCTTCAACTTGTTAAGGGAGAGGACGAACGGAGACAGGTTATTGTAGCCATGTACCAGCTAGGGATGTTCAACCATGCGGCTACGCGCCGTGGTATTGCCGATGTCATGGCTCCTATGGACGCATACGCTGCCCTGAAAGCTGGAACTCCCTTGAAGACCTTCTTGGCCGAACAGAACGAACGCTATCTTAAGGGCTGGCTGGCCATCGATGGTCTCAACGGTATCATCACAGAGTTTCTCCGCTTTCACCGTCCGGAGGATCCTCGAATTGAAGATTGCAAGACTTTGTTAGATATGCACATCAACTC